CTTTTGTATTTGTTACCTTGCCTGGTAAAAAGATAACAAGTGATATATGTTGGATCGAATTTAACAGGTGGATCCAAAGGTCATAGAAAATACGTTGTTGAGAACTCCGATGCATCGGCTCGGTGAGCCAGTTGAGGTGGCGTCGATGGTGTCGTTCCTTTGCATGCCAGCAGCTTCATTCGTCACCGGCCAGGTCATCTACGTCGATGGGGGCCGAACCATTAGTGGCTAATCAATTATTCCAACCTACTTTAGTAACCGTTAAGCTCCTCTCCCGGTTGACCGGTGCGAACAAAATTAGGTTGTGTTTGGTTGTTATTCTAAAAAAGTTATTGTGAGTTGTGAGCGGTAAGAAAGTTATTATAAACCTTCAGCTATGGAAAAGCTGAAAGTTGTTTGGTTGAGAGACAACCATGAAACTGTAGATTTGGTTGTAAATTGGAACACTTCTTTCAAGTTCTTGCTTAAAATTTCTCAAAAACATTATTCTCAACCCTTCTTAGTTAAATAACCTAATGGTTTGTTCCCATTTTCAGCCTCTTATTTGAATATTTCTATGAGTTCCTTCATATGTGCATCATCCCTCAACGCCTTCTTAGCCATACTTCAGTCAAGCAAAAAACAAAATTCAATACAAGAGCATAGCACAACTATCAAATCTGCATGAACATAACACTACTAGCATTGGATGCTACCGAAACACAAGTTCAAACAAAAATTTGTGAACATTTACCCATAGAAACATTACCACAAACACATATCAAACACAATCCACTCACACATAATGTAATACCCACGATGCGGCTATATCTCCCACGTGTCGGAGCACGACTTAGAGGCATAGCCGCATGGTAAGCATGTCACAAGAGGGATAATCTTTACACATTCCATGTACTGAATAAGAAAGGGATAAGGAGTTGACTTACAATCGCCACTTCACACAATACAATAAATATAGCATTACATCATCCAGAATACAATCAGGGTCCGACTACGGAACCCAAAATAAAAGAAGACTACTCCTAATGCAAAAGATCCCCGATCGCCCCGACTGGGCTCCACTACTGATCAACTGGAAACGAAACAACACAACGAACCCGATCTTCATCGAGCTCCCCTTTGAGCTCGGTTGCGTCACCTGCACGGTATCATCAACACCTACAACTGATTGGAAGTATCTGTGAGTCATGAGGACTCAGCAATCTCACATCCACTAGATCAAGACTATTTAAGTTCATGGGTAGGAAAGGGTAGTGAGCTGGAGCTGCAGCAAGCACTAAGCATGTATGGTGGCTAACATACGCAAATAAGAGCGAGAAGAGAAGCAAAGCACGGTCGTGAACTAGAAGTGATCCTGAAACTACTTATGTTCAAGCATAACACAAGAATCGTGTTCATTTCCCGGACTCCGCCGGAAAGAGAGCATCACGGCTACACACGCGGTTGGTGCATTTTAATAAAGTCAAGTGTCAAGTTCTCTACCACCGGACATTAACAAATTCCCATATGCCCATAACCGCGGGCACAGCTTTTGAAAGTTCAAAACCCTGCAGGGGTGTCCCAACTTAGCCCATCACAAGCTCTCACGGTCAACGAAGGATATTCCTTCTCCTGGGAAGACCCGATCAGTCTCGGAATCCCAGTTACAAGACATTTCGACAATGGTAAAACAAGACCAGCAAAGCCACCCGATGTGCCGACAATCCCGATAGGAGTCGCACGTATCTCGTTCTCAGGGCAACACCGGATGAGACTAGCTACGAGTAAAACCAAACCTCAAGTTTCCCCGAGGAGGCCCCGCAGGCAGCTCGGTTCAGATCAACACTTAGACAAGCACTGGCCCTGGGGGGGGGGGTTAAAATAAAGATGACCCTCGGGTTGGCCGACCCAAGGGAAGGGTAGGTGGTGGTGAGGCAAATGGTAAAACCAAGGTTGGGCCTTGCTGGAGGAGTTTTATTCAAAGCGAACTGTCAAGGGGTCCCCATAACGAGTCCATGAAGAAGACAAACAGACGAAGTCGAACGAATCCTCACAAACGTGACGTTATCGGAGCTAACACGAAGAAGCAACACCGGAAAGAAGCAAACAACATAGTAAACAACCATCACATAAACATGGCATGATGCACAACCAAGTATGATGCATGTCCGGTTTAATGAAGCATGGCATGGCAAAGTGTAACAAATAACACTACAAATTAATTGGAGCTCAATATGCAATGGAGTTGCATATTGAAGAAAACACCACATTACTTATTTAGTTCTCTCTTGTTTATGTACCCAAAAATATTAAATGTTGATTAACGTGGCAAGAGGTGAAGCAAAATAAAACTACCTACCTAGGCAAGTTTAAATGAGGCCGGAACAACAAGCAATAAGTCCTGAAAATCCTCATGTGCATATTAATGGATTTGGTACTGTTCTGCCCTAAACACAATTTTAGGGTTGTTAAACATGCAAAGTGATGCCACCATGTTAAACTAGACATTTTTCTACCCCATTTACATATAAAGATTACTAAATTTGGAGCTACGGTTATTTAGCTATGAATTAAAGCATTTTAGCATGACAATTAAGCAAATACATGCAAACAACAGTTTAAACATTTTAGACACAGATGAAAGTGGCATATTATGAAACTACACAAAATTCTAAGCATTTTTCATATATAAATTATTTTAATATGATGCACGGTTGGTGAGTTATAATATGCATGATGTTGGAGGGCTTTTCTGCAAAATTGGTTTACACTGGATAATGTCTAAAATTGTAGGCAAGGAAAAAACACATCCCGGGCCGAAACTGGCAGGCCCGGTAGTGGAGAGGAGAGGGAGTGGAGAGGGGATGCTCACTTTGGGCCTCGTGGGCCGTTCGGTGGAGAGGCTAGCCGGAGCCAGGCCTTGCTGGAGGATGCGGCCCACGCGGGCACGAGGAGGCCGGCTCGGTCTCGCGGAATCCAGACAAGCAGGGGCAGCGGTCAACGAGTGAATGGGAGGTGGACCAGGCTCGTGGAGAGGAAGCGGTCAACGAGAGCGCTTGTCGTCTCGTCCTGTCGCTCGAAGCGGGGAGCACAATCAGGCGAGGCGGATGCAGGTGGTACTCCGGCAAGCGACAGGATGGAGAGGGGTCGTCGTGAGAGTTCGGGGTGTCTGTCGATGAGGGAAAGGCTCGTCTCACTCGCACAGAGGCGAGGCCGGCAGCGGCTACGCTAGAACGGGGGACAGCAGTGCCCTTCGCCGGATGAGGACGACGGCCGGACCAGGGACAAGGCAAGGCGCAGATCAGGCAAGGCGGTCCATTCCCGGTGGCATCCGGCGGATTTGGCGAGGTGGCGGTCGTGCTCCTTCAGGCAGCCTCCAAGGCGGCGCTGCGTTGAAGACAGAGAGAGATCGTGAGGGAAGGGGAGAGAGGGCTTCAGCGAAAAGGGAACTGGGAGAGGGAGTAGAGGCACGGCCTGGTGGTCGAGGACGCTAGCGGCGGCGTGCTCCGGCGAGGGACTTCTGGCGAGGAGGGATCGGGCAGCAGGCGCTGGTAGGAGGCGGTGTGGTGATCCAGGAGGTGCTTGGTGGTTGGTCAGGTTTGCAAATCGAGGAGGGGGATTGACTGGATGACTGGATCGGAAGGAGATGAAGCTAGTTGGTGGAAGGATCCTGAGGGGGATTCGGTGGAGTGGCGGCGGTGACGAGTGGAGGATGGGACAACTCGCCTAAAATTTAGGGTTGCCCTCTTATATACGTTGTTGGGTTAGGTTGGGGGGTATTCGGTCCGTCCGATCGTAATCGGGCGGTCGAAAAAAATAGGCTAGGGAGTCCAAATAGAAAAACGGAGATGTTTTGTAGATGTTAGGGGATGATTCGGATCCAACGGTGACGACTGCCCGGGTCGGGTCCGGGACAGCTTTCGGACGCGCGCGCGAGGAGGGGTCGGTTGGAACTTGTGGGCTGTGCAGAAGGGCTCAGGTTGAGAGAAGAGAAGAGAGAGAGAGAGAGACCCGGCAGCAGTTTTCGGAGACCGAAAATGTTCGACGTTTTGACTGGCTATATTGCCGCTATAATTTAATGGTTGGGCTATCAAACGGACTTTGAATGCGATGAAACTTGACAGGCGGTCTACCTACACTATAACAAGACTGCACGCCAACTTTCAACCCATTCCGAGAACATTTTCCGGCCACTTATAAAATATTATTTTGGACATGTCGCGGGCGCGTGCGTGTGTGGTTGGACTCAGAACGGACAACAGACGGAACTAGGAGACCCGGACGAATGCAAGTTTTGAAAACATGATGATGCAATGCACATGATGACATGACAAGATGCAACACGCAAGCGAATGACATGGCAACGACGGCGAATAACTGGGAGACACCTGGCGCAATGGTCTCGGGGCGTCACAACACTCCACCACTACGAGAGGATCTCGTCCCGAGATCTAGGATGGCACCAGAGGGAAAAAGAAGAGGAATAGAAGAGGTAAAACAAAGTTGCTTCTTGACAAAAGAGTGAAACCAAAGAACCTTAGAGGTTGAACAATTTTAAAGAAGAAAACAATGAAGATGACCAAAGTTGAAAACACTCCGTTAGAAAAGAGAAACAAGGAACATTACTAGAGCCTTGTAGGTTTAAAGACATAAGAAAAGGGGTTTCGATGGACAGGAAGTACATGCAAGCACTCCAGTCGAAACGAGAAGTACAAGGAACGATAAAGGTCAATTACGACAACACTCCAGTAAGAAATGTTAGGCAAAGAATATGAGCTAGGCAAAATGAAATCACTTTGATGAGACTCTGGTTAGAAGAGGAATGATAGACATAACACTCCGGTTAAGACAAGATAGAGAAGGGAAAAGAATGATATAATTTGGGAAGCACTCTGACTGTAAATGGAAGGAAATGAACATGAATTTGACAAGATGAGAGGATACTTGATGAAATTAACAACACACTACCTCCAGAACAAATGAATGGAAAACTAGATGGTAAGAAAGATTTCAGACGGCACTCCGGTTGACAAGGGAGGTAAAACTTGACAAAATGGGAAGAACTTGAAAAGAGGGCACGGCACTCCGGTTAAATGGATAAGCATGAAAAGAACGCGATCCTCACCATTCGAGATGATGAGAGAAAAGAGCAACATCACAATGCCTCCAAAAAAAAGAATAGAATGGAATGAAATGAACGGAGGGAAACACGATCTTGGGAGAGCACGCTTACAACAAATGCTAGAACGGAGT